AACACTCACCGGAAACGAGTCTGACTTACTGCTGCCCATGCGGACCAGACTCTGGCACCGGTCATACAGGGACCGAACAGCCCTTAAAAGGTAGCCCGGCACCCCATACTCCCGGAGCACCCCCCACAGGACTCCCCGAGGGACACGGTCGAATGCCTTCTCCAAGTCCACAAAGCACATGTAGACTGGTTGGGCAAACTCCCATGAACCCTCCAGAACCCTGCGGAGAGTATAGAGATGGTCCACTGTCCACATTGGAAGGCATGTCGGTGGGATTGAGGAGGTCTTCGAAGTACTCCCTCCACTGATTGAAAATGTCCCGAGTTGAGGTCAGCAGCACCCCATCCCCACCATAAACAGTGTTGATGTTGCACCGCTTTCCCGCCCGGAGCCGCCGGATGGTGGACCAGAATCGCCTCGAAGCCGTCTGGAAGTCGTTTTCCATGGCCTCACCAAACTCCTCCCAAACCCAAGTTTTTGCCTCAGTGACCGCCGAAGCAGCACCCCACTTGGCCTGCCGGTACCCGTCAGCTGCCTCTGGAGTCCCACAGGCTAAAAAGGCCCGATAGGACTCCTTCTTCAGCTTGACGGCATCCCTCACCACTGGTGTCCACCAGCGGGTTCGCGGATTGCCGCCGCGACAGGCACCGACCACCTTACGGCCACAGCTCCGGTCAGTCGCCTCCACAATGGAGGTGCGGAACATGACCCATTCGGACTCAATGTCCCCCACCTCCCCCAGGACATGGGAGAAGTTCTGCCGGAGGTAGGAGTTGAAACTCTCTTGGCAGGGGATTCCGCCAGACGTTCCCAGCAGACCCGCACTATACGCTTGGGCCTGCCAGGCCTGGCGGGCTTCCTCCCCTCTCTTCACCCGAGTGTCCAAGACATGCAGCCGCAAGTCCGATGACACGACTACATAGTCGATCATCGAACTGCGGCCTAGGGTGTCCTGGTGCCAGGTGTACATATGAACACCCTTATGCCTGAACATGGTGTTCATTATGGACAATCCATGACGAGCACAGAAGTCCAACAACAGAACACCACTCGGGTTCAGATCGGGGGGGCCGTTCCTCCCAATCACGCCACTCCAAGTCTCACTGTCATTGCCCACGTGAGCATTGAAGTCCCCCAGCAGAACAAAAGAGTCCTCAGAATGAGTGCTCTCCAACACCCCTTCCAGGGACTCTAAAAAGGGTGGGTACTCTGAACTGCTGCTCGGCGCATAAGCACAAACAACAGTCAGAACCCGTCCCCCCACCCGAAGGCGAAGGGAGGCTACCCTCTCGTCCACTGCGGTAAACCCCAATGTACAAGCGCCCAGCCAGGGGGCAATAAGTATGCCCACCCCCGCTCGGCGCCTCTCCCCGCAGGCAACTCCAGAGGGGGTCCAACCCCCTTCGAGGAGACTGGTTCCAGAACCCAAGCCGTGCATCGAGGTGAGCCCGACTATGTCTAGCCGGAACTTCACAACCTCGCACACCAGATCAGGCTCCTTCCCCATCAGAGAGGTGACATTCCATGTCCCAAGAGCTAGCTTTTGCAGCCGAGGATCGGACCGCCAAGGTCTCCGCCTTTGGCCACTGCCCAGCTCACAACGCACCCGACCCCTATGGCCCCTCCTATGGGTGGTGAGCCCATTGGAGGGGGGACCCACGTGCCTTGTTCGGGCTGTGCCCGACCAGGCCCCATGGGTATAGGCCTGGCCACCAAGCGCTCGCCATCGAGCCCCACCCCCAGGCCTGGCTCCAGGGGGGAACCCCGTTGACCCGTGTCTGGGCAAGGGAAAACGTGTTTCCATCATGTTTTTCTTCATAAGGGGTCTTTTGAGCCACACTTCGTCTGGTTCCTCACCCAGGACCTGTTTGCCTTGGGTGACCCTACCAGGGGCATAAAGCCCCGGGCAACTTAGCTCCTGGGATCACTGGAACACGCAAACCCCTCCACCACGATAAGGTGTCAGCTCCAGGAGGGGGTTAACAGCCAACCGTTAAATGTATTATTTTATTAATCAACAAGTGTCCATGTGCAGTTCATATAACTATCACACTGTCCAATGTTAAGTTTATACTAATTTCATAAACTGCTTGTGCAGTGCGGTTAACCCCATCACAGCATGCGTGCATGCGAGTGGGGATGCAGTTGAACCCATCACATTTTGCATGCACGTGAATAGGGGCAGGGTTGCAAGTAGAGCAGAGCAGTGGAACCTGCAGCAGACAGTGAGGGAAAAGAACAAAGACTTTTGAAAGGGAACTTTTTAAAATCTTAAAAGCTTCATTTATCTCAATATAAAAGATACCTTTTCAATCCATATCGCGCTCTATTTGTTTCCCGGTATGTTTTAAAATCTCGATGCACTGCCCCAAGGACGTAACTTTGGCTGGACCATTGGGGGGGTTGAGGTCTCCACCCATTACGGGGGAAACATGATTATTGGGGGGGTTGTATTAGCTGGTTTTGATTTATTGGGGAGGCTACAACCCCCCCATCCCCCCCGTAATTTACGCCCATGTACTGGCCAGCCTTACCGAATACAGAATTGCTTATAATTACCTAACATCAAATACTGAATATGTTATTCCATGAAGCAGGATTAAGGGAAAGTCTGGCTTATTTCGACAAGTCTGGCTCATTTAAGTGGGAGTTCTGTTCCATCAACGTGCCTTAAACGAATCCCCGCTGAGTTACCATGGTAACTTAGGCCAGTGAACAAGTCTGCTCTGGACCAGGTTAATTGTCTCACTTAGATAAGCATTGTATCAAAGAACGTCCGACGTGTGGGAACAGATTCCCAAAAGATTGTTCTGCCAGATGAAAGTCCGGAATCTCACAACTTATGTAATAAATATAATAAAGCCTATAAAATCACGTCTCAGCATTCTAATTAATTCCAAAATAATTCAAATAAAAGCGTACCCATATTACAAAGGTCAAACATGAAATGCAATGACTGAAATAGAAAAAAATCCATTTAAATAATTTGAAGAGGAACATATTTTTATATTTTGTTTAGTCACAGCCAACTTTGAAAGTTTATTAGTAAAAAGCAAATACAAGATACAGTTATTTGTGCAGAACATTTCACACAGATGCGATCAAAAGTATTTTACGGAGATAAAATAATACAGAATAACATTATATGGTAAAAATGACATGGGAACTCAACCTTGAAGGTTCCCCATTGGCTATAGGGATCGAAGCAAGGACTTTTGCAGTGTAAGGCGATATCATAAACCAATATACCACTGTGCCACTGTATTAGGCATTTGTAACATTTACATAACTTACACATTTAGTCTGTCTGCAATTCTTTGCCAAGCCGCCTTCCTGCCTGTATTTATGGCCCCAGTATTGCCTTTTTAGAGATTACATCTTTGTATTCTTAATACAGCTCCATCAGCAGCGTTTGTTCTGCGGTGGTTAAAAAACACCACTCTCATTTTACACGCTTTCCGACTCATTTGATCTGTCGTTCATCCATTCATTTGGGCTTCATAAATATCTTGGATGTACGAACTGTGAGACTATGCATGTCTGTCTTGTATGAGCCTTGATTGGTTAAAGCTGACTAAGTTTAGAGATGGCGTTAGTTTGAGTCTGACTTTTTCAGGAAAGTCTGGCTTTCTTATCTAAACTAATAGATAAGTGGGAGTTCTTTTCCATCAACGTGTCTTAAACGAAAACAAAAAATGCCTGAGCACCGTACAGCACTGCATGTTAAACACCCATATGTGTTTGACTGGGGAATAGCGACACACGTGGTAACAGCAGTGCTGTACGGTGCTCAGGCATTTTTTGTTTTTGATCGAGAAGTTTCAGAAAGTGAGGACCAAAAAAACATTGAGGGGAACCTGCAAGTGATGATAAAGAAAATACCATCCTTTAGCTACTTTCTTGGAATACCCCCCAGAGAAACAAAGAATCCTTGTTTATGTGCTTTATTTGCTTCATAAAATAATACAGAAAGTAATTGTGGAAAAAAGTATAAGAGTTTAGCTTAATTTAATGAAAAATCTATTCCTGGCTCCATTTTATTTAAACCACTTACATGATTATTGTCCTATGCAGGAATTACCTTGTGGGATCGGGAAGACCTTCAACGACACACAAATGAAATAATGAAGCCCAAGACAGGAATTGATGTCATTGCATCTGATTCTGTAGAGGATAAGGCAGGGGCTTTGGATATTGATGCTTCACTAAAAGCAAGTTTCATAGGAGGACTGGTTGAGGTTGATGGATCTGCCAAATATCTTAAGGACACTAAGGCTTCAAAAAAACAGGCACGTGTCACCCTGAAGTATAAAACAACTACAAAGTTCATGCAGCTGTCTATGAGTCACCTTGGACGAGGAAATGTTAAACACCCATATGTGTTTGAGAAGGGAATAGCGACACACGTGGTAACAGCAGTGCTGTACGGTGCTCAGGCATTTTTTGTTTTTGATCGAGAAGTGTCAGAAAGTGAGGACCAGCAAAACATGGAGGGGAACCTGCAAGTGATGATAAAGAAAATATCATCCTTGTCAATCGATGGGAAAGGTTCCTTAGAGCTGACAGACACTGACAGAGCTACTGTAGAAAAGTTTTCTTGTATATTCTATGGGGACTTTGCTCTGAAACAGAACCCTGTTTCCTTCCAAGATGCAGTAGACACATACAAAACTCTTCCAACTCTGCTGGGTGAAAAGGGGGGAAACGCTGTGCCAGTCAGGGTGTGGTTACTCCCCCTGGAAATCTTAGATTCTTCTGCTGCCAGATTAGTGCGTCAGATCAGTGTCAGATTAATAAGTGAAACACAGAGTGTGATAGAGGACTTCAATGAAATAGAAATGCAATGCAATGATATTATGAAACGAAAGATTGTTGCACACTTTCCTGAAATTGGCAAAAAGATGAAATCCTTCAAGGATATGTGCTTGGAGTACAAATCAGTGTTTCAGAGATCTTTGTCAAGCATTCTACCATTAATTCGTGGAGGTGGAACAGAGGAATGTGTGCTTGCAAACATCCTAACAAATAAGGAACAGTCTCCTTTCCAGAGCAATAAACTTAAGGAATGGCTGGACTGCAAAGAGGAAGAAATCAACCTGTTCCAATTGTACACTGATATGATGGAACACACAACAATTCTGGCATCAAACAGTGAGCTTCAAAGTGAAATCCTGAAAAATAGAGATAAGAATGTAGTGTGCTTTACATTCACATCACTGGGTGAGGAGGAGCCGTATCTGTCCTGCTTACAGAGTCACTTAAAGGCTCTTTCAACTGCAAAGCTAATAGAACCAACAAAGGAAGATGGGAAGGATGTCAAGCCGGGTGAGTTTTACTTCTCAGATTCTGTGTTAGAAAAAATAAAAGAACAAGCAATCCTCTTCATAGATTTTGCAAAAGCAAACAAGAAGAACAAGAAAACAGACTTTATAGCTGCATCCATACCTAACGATGAGCAGAAAGGGGCAAGTATTTACCTTTACAAAGATGGGAATAAACAAAGTGACCACTTTCAGCCTCCATCAAAGCCAGGAAGACCAAATGCATCTGACGTCACTCATGACAGTGTGACAATAAAGCTGAATCACCCCCAGTATGGATCCAGTGAAGTCACACACTACCTGGTTGAATACTGTGCTAATGAGTCACTTGGTTGGCAGTTTATTAAAGTACCCAAATCTAGCATAGAATGTACTGTGTCTGGGCTGCTTCCCCACACAGGCTACAGGTTCAGATACAAGGCAGTGTGTCCAGCAGGTGTCAGTCTAACCAGTGAAGCTGAGAGCATTAAAACTTTGCCCACAAGTCCTCCTGGGATGGCAGAAGAAATAGATGTAGACTTAGAGGAGATTACAGTTACTTGGACAAAACCTGATATGGTTGGAAATGGGGTCAGCATTGAAAATTATGTTGTTGAATACAGAAATAAAGAAAATGAAAATAAGGCAGACTGGGAAAAAAAGACTAGTGAAGGCGAGGTCTATAAAATTCCTGGGTTACAGCCAGATACAGCTTATTATATTAGAATTACATGCAATTGTGGTGAATCTGGTCAAAGCAAAGAAAGTCTGACAGTCTCTATTTCAACTGTAGGTGAAAACATAAGCACACATATTTCAGTGTCAGATATTCCAGAACTAATAAAGATCTTCAAACAAAACAATGAAGGATTAGAAGGTCAGTGCACCTTAAGTTCCATTGGACACCGTTCATCCAGAATGAAACTCACATGCACTGTTACCAACTCACTGAACTCCTTGTGTCAAACCCTATGTGACCAGCAAGAACATGAAGCTGAACTCTTGGTTCTGTCCAGTATTGATGCTTTGGGATACTGCTGTAAGAGCAAGACATTTAATCATCTTCTTGATTGGGAAGAAATCAACTTCTTGCAAAATGAAATAGAAAGATCTTACAAGGAATATTGCTCTCTGAAAGAGCAAAGTGTATCAAAAGCTCAAGCCTACGTGTTTCTGAAAATGCTGACTTTATCCAAAGATGAAGAATATATTTCCTCTGAGAAAAAAGAAGCACGGTTAGAGTTAATTAAATCTTACCTGAAGGACAACATTTCAAATGCAATTAAATTACTGGTTGAAAAATCTCATGGAAACTGGGAAATCCTTGAAGAAGAATTAATTTCCTTTATACGGGAATCAAACATGAAAGAAGAAAATACAAATGGAGAGGATACAGCATCACAGCTGGGTAGTTTACCAGCAACCCAAGTGTCTTTATCTGAAGACACAACTGATTTTAAGAATTTACAAGCTAATGAAATGAACAACTCTACCAATTTATTAAAAAAACTTGGCCTCAGTGACCTTTTTCCCAAAAAGATTAAACTGAATGATGTTCTTATTATTGACAGTTTGTCTCTTGGCCTAAATGAACCAGATACAGTGGAAGATCTGAAGAGTCAATATCTGTATAAGCTCATGATTTTAGATTACAATGTCAGATATCTCTCTTTTAAACCAGTAGCAACTGATCCACCTCTAGAAGATGATGGTACAGCCTTTGATGATTTTGATTTCTTTAATACAAATGAGGAACCAACCAGTGGAGCAGATCTGGCAGGCACAGCGTCGCACATCCATCCCATGGATATCCACATGGCGGTCTTCCACTGTGCCAATGACTTTCTAAGACAGTACATGTACACAAAACTCTCTGCCTGCCAGTTTGCACTACCTTTCTTAGTTCCCACCCCATGTACCGAAGACCTGGAATTCCCTCTTTGGCCTCTAAGGCACATCAAAAAGTCATGGCAAAGTATAACAAACTCAAGCGCAGACAACCCTGGAAGATACCAAACCAGGCAAATGTTTAGCACACCGGTGGCAGTTGTCTCTTTTTTAAGGTTGGGAACCTCTTTCACCTCCAAATCTCAAATTCTGAATTCTGTCATTAGCAAACAGAGACATAATGTGTTCTTCAATCGGCACTGTAAAGGTAGTGCTCCAAACAGCATGCTTATGAATGGGGTTGTCGAGATCGCCTGGTACTGTCCAGGAGGAAAGAAAGATGACATATTTGATGACTGTGTTGCATTTCTAAACCTTCATGGTGACGCAAAAGATCATCAAGAGCAACTTCAATTTCTGCAGGCAGTGAGTACAGTGAATGTGCTTCTACTGTCAGAACAGCCACAGGATGAAGAAACAAAAACAATTTGTCAAAATCTCTCTAAGTCTTCTACCCCATT